TAATGGCCGTAACGAGTCCTGAAAGTGGTCTTAGCGATATCTGACTCCTTAATCTTTAGCTGGTGGTAGCCTGATCGTAAATCAATCTTTGAGAACACACAGGCTCCCCTCAGCTGATCAAACAAGTCGTCGATCCTGGGAAGCGGATACTTATTCTTGATCGTTAACCGGTTAAGATCCCGGTAGTCGATACACATGCGCATGGATCTGTCCTTCTTCTTAACAAAGAGAACGGGTGCTCCCCAAGGTGACACGCTCGGTCGAATAAAACTGAGTCGTAACAGCTCTTGAATCTGGGTCTTAAGCTCCTGCAACTCCTTAGGCGCCATACGATACGGGGCTTTGGATACTGGACCGGCCCCTGGAATAAGATCGATAGAAAACTCCACCTGACGGTTGGGCGGTCCTCCTGGAAGGTCGTCTGGAAACACGTCCACAAACTCGCGAACGATTGGAACATCATGAGGCATTCGCGCTTTCTGAGAATCATCGACAAGGCTAACCAGATAACCCTGGCAGTTGCCTCGTCGCAGTAACTTAGTGGCTTTCGCCATTGAAACAACATGAGGCAGTGAACGATTCCTGGAACCGAAGAAAGTGATCGATTCGTCTCCCGGAAGATAGAGAGTGATCTCCCGGTCATGACACTTGATGTCTGCATGATAGAAGGATAGCCAATCCATCCCGAGAATAAGATCGAAGTCCTTCATCTCGAGAACAAACGCGTCGGCAGTCAACACTCGGCCACCGATGGAAAGGCTAAGATCTGAGGCTTTAGCTGAGGTTACTATCTTTCGTCCCGAGGCTAAACTCACCTCGAGAGGATCGACAGCGGTAACGACGTGAACTCCGATGGCATCGAGACATCGTCGTGATATGAAAGTATGTGTCGCTCCAGTATCGAATAAAGCAAACACAGGAATATCATTGAGAACAACCATCCCTGACATAGTACCTGGCTGCTGTGCTGCTTCTGCCTGATCCACTGCGTAAACCCGGGCCTGCTGCCTGCCCCTCTGCTGCTGCTGCTGCTGAGGCGGCCTCTGTGCCTGCTGACGTGGCTGCTGCTGCTGTGGTGGCTGCTGAGGCTGCTGAGGCTGCTGCTGGAGTCTCTTCGGACAGCGACTCGCAAAATGTCTCGGCTCGTGGCAATAGTAGCAAATGTCCTGTCCCACATGGCACTCTCCCCTGTAAAGTCGTCCACAAGTCGGGCACGGTGGAATCGGCTGCTGTCTCTGTCGAGTCCTCCGGTCAGTCTGTGCACCCTTCCCCTTCCTCTTCTTCTCCTTTGCCGGCTGAGGGGATGGTAGAGCTGGTGGAGCTGCGAATGGCTGAACTGGGGCAGATGGCTGGGCACGATCACGAACTGCCTCTCTCCTGATACTAGCGTCCACCTCCTGGGCAATAGAGACTGCACGAGCGTAGGTCTGGGTCCCGTGTCCCACGATGTTGTGACGGACTGCTGGGAAAAGTCCGTCGATGAACCGCTGCGCTCTCTGAGCCTCCGTGCGAACAAGATCCGGTGCGAAAGCTGCAAGTCTAGTGAACTCTCGCTCGTACTCATCAACAGTACGAGTGCCCTGCTGGAGCGCTAAGAACTGACGCTCCATCTCTGCCCGATAGTAGGAAGGGTAGTACTTATCACGGACTAGCTCCTTGAACATGTCCCAAGTACAACCCGCTTTTTCACCAGGACGCATGCTCCAGTAGGCATTCCACCAGAGCCTTGCATCACCAGTGAGCTGAAGCTGAGCGCAAACTACGCGATACCTATCGGGGCATTCCATGACCTCAAAGATAAATTCTAACCCCTGAATCCATTCATCAACGATGCGGGGATCTCCCTGCCCTGAGAACTTTTCGGCATGATAGTCGCGAAACTGAGCGACTACCATAGCCTGAGTAGGAGCCTGATGATCGGGTTCCCTACGTGGCGGCATCTGATCATTGAGAAAAGTTAAAATTACTGAATACGTGATAACATTACTGACTGATTACTAAGCCACACAAATCTCTTGACGAGTAGCTAAAAGTGGCCGATAAATACTGACGTGAAACCTGAAAAACTCTAGAGTCATATAGGAAGATCCTAACGTCTAGAGTCATATCTGAATGCCTGAATTCTAGAGTCATGTCCGAACTCTAAAATTTGAACTTTATTCGAGCATCTTAACTAAAGTCCTGATCCTTAATTCTGAGCATAGACAAAGTAATATGTTTATAACTGAAAAACTGAATCAGCACTTACCTGTCGTCGGCGGGGCGTGAGCATGACGGTTCATGTTTTTCTGAAAAATTACTGACTGAAAACCTTTTTCAGAGACGCAGAAACGTGCTCTGATACCAATTGTAACACCCCTTCTTATCGTAAATCAGAGTGCACAAAAATTCGCAAAGTTATTTAAAAATAAACCCTTTTTACTTTGCGAAAACTGATTCGGGGTGCTACCTTAAAAACGTGACTTAATTTGGAAAACCGTTAGTTTAATTTTACTAAAATCGTCCGGTTACTGAAAGCATAAGTTTCCCAAAATTTCGTCAAAAGATAAGTTTGTCAAATATGAGTACGTCAAAAGACATCAAAAACATCGTCACAAGTCAACAAAACATCATTAGCGGAAGCGTAAGTCATCATAATAATTATACAGTCCAAAACATGAATATCCTGAAGTCTCCGTCACGTCACGCTCCCGGCACGACATCCTGACCTGAAAAACGTGATAAAAGTGGGGAGTGAGCACTATGGCACTGTGCTCCGTGGAAACTCATACTAATGTAAAACATCGAAAATAATAACAACATCATGATATCAGTATATACATAACCTCAACCTCAAGCCGGTAAAAACATGAACATGAATCTGAAATCGTCACGCAACCGTGACCCTGAAATCGTCACGCAACCGTGACCCTGACCGTTACCTCATCTGCCGGCAAAGCCGGACACCATGTGCACACTCTAGTGGGCAGACTAGGGCCACTAGAACCCAGAATGGACCGGCGACCATTCCGAGCGGATACCTCAACTGAAATACATACCTCAAACATGGTACTGTAATTATAATCAATGTAGTACGTATTCTGAGTCCCCACCTGAACTGCTGAACTGAATGGTAGTGCTGATGCCTGATCAAACTGAAAATAATATAAACAATTACTATTGACTATGCTCAGACTTTTAACTTAACTTATAAATCTCGTTAAGATGCTCTACTGAACTTAACATGACATTTGGACTTAACCGGAATAATCGGAACTGATTTAACATGAACTGATCGGACATGAATTTACTGAACTGAAATAATCCCAGAAATTTAACTGAAAATGTCCTTAAAATCATAAACCAGGCTGAACACTTAAACATGAACCGAACCGGACTAAAATGAGACTGAACCGGTCCAGCCGGTCCGGACCGGTCTAGACCGGACTGCGGTTCGACCGAACCGGCAGTCGGCTGAGCTTGGCCAGCAGCCTGCCGCGTGCTGCGCCC